ATGTTTCAAAGAATAAAATTATTCTTTAAAAGTTTCTATTAACAATGAATTCCTGTAGATAGTCTTTTAAAAAAATAGAAAGTCTATGACCAATCACTACATGCTAGATAGCAAATAAGGGAAAATGCAAACATTACATGCATGGATGCTTGCACACCATTACCTTTTGAAAACCTTGGTTATTTGTGTCTGATAAATTGATGAGAAATTTTATGACTTACCAGGGAATAACTGGGCCAAACTCACAGAAGGCTGTGAGGTGTTTATTGTTATTTTATGTTCCCCTTCCTTAGAAGCAGGGCAAGTTGTAACAATAAGTTTGAGAGGTACTTGTGCAACATTCTGTAATACTCTAGGTACTCCACGAGTACTTGTAACATATGAAGTAACAATACGGAATTTCAAATTCGCAACATCACCTGGCTCGTTTAAATATATAAAAACAATGATTTGAGTAACTTCACCTGAAAGAAGGAAAGAACATTTACTCATCTAATTACTCTTATGTAGGAGATACATATTTCATGAACTAGATGAAATAAGTTATGTTGTAACTGAATTTTTTATAAAGAAAAACTCATTGTTTTGCATAAAAGTAAAGATGTAACAAAACAATTCAACAAATAGAATGTAAATTCTGCAATCATTTTTATTTCCAATTTACTCTAAATGATGCAGGTGTAATAGTATAAAAAGTAAATGAAGTAAAAACACAATCATGTATTCTCTACACTTTGCAAGAAATTTTTTTCTTTTAATTGGACCACACTAACATTATAAAATGTGTACTCACATAGACTGCTAATGGAATGTGAAACCTGTGATACTCCCAAAGGAGGAGGGACAACAAATGAGACCTGCACTTTACTTAGAGGTGCATGAGGAACCAGCTCTAGTGCTACTCGGCACATTGGAATAGCATCTTTGTCCACATCAGACAGAGGGTCTAGCAACTGAGTGGAATAGGCACAAGGTTCAATTTGATTACTGATATTCACAGAGAGTCCAAGTTCTTTCTCTGCCGCACTATTGGCCAAACTCATAGCTAGAAAAGAAAAAAAGAAGAAAAAAATAAAGATCCAGAAAAGTTCACAAGCTTACAAAAAGATTTCAAAATAATTCAATTTGATACTTCATACAATTTTCTTTGCTGTATGCTTTGATTATCTTCTGAAGCTGCAGCAATTCTTTCCTAGATTCTTCATAATCCAGAGCTGTGACTTCTAGAGGAGGTGGCATGAAAAGAGATGGTTCAGTCCCCAAATAACAACACTGAAGTTCTCCTGAGTCAGACATCACCACCAACACTCCATGAAGGTTCTGTTATCCAAAGGAATTGCAATGATGGAATATCACAATAAAATGCAAGGAATTCTATATAAATGTGGAAAGCTTTCAATTGCCCCTAATATCATGATTACAGAGTAAATTTTACGGGTGTTAAATTCAGTCTTAGTTCGGTTGAAGACTTCTTTTGTACATCAATTTTTTAATTGAAATCAATAATTAGTCATTTTACAAACCACCTGAATGTTTTATTTCATTTCTTAAATAAAAAAATAAGATGAATATGTATCACCAGAAATTGCAAAACATCAATATAAAACATTTCTTACCTCAATACTGACTCTTGTTACAACAACTGGAGAGATGAGAAGTTTGGCAGACCATTTCAATGTAGTTTGTTCATATACCATCAACATATCAGTGTCAGTTACCACTAGTATCATTAACTTACCATCAGGTTCTATAAAAGCAAAATATAAATATCTCACTTTGTGCATTGAATAGCATAAGTATTGTAAACTATTTTTGATCTCACAAATGAACCTAAACATTCTATGTGAACTCACCAACTATGTAGCAATGAAGACAATGTGGTTTATATTCCAGTCTTTTCATGAATTTGAGAGTTCCATTATCTCTAAGGCAAAATAAATTTTTTTCTCCAAGAATAACAACATCTGAATGTGAAGGCCAGACAATACCCTTTATGTCAAGAACACTTTCACCCAGAACATAAATCCAGTCAGCAGTCAACTTTCTGCCAGATGATGCTTCTTGATCTGATGATCCAGATTCTGCAAGAACTTGATACCTATGTACAAAAATCATTAATTACTGACCTAGTAACATTGTTTAATTTACTTGTGTAATTAAATAACAAAATACACAGTGCATAATGGACACCTCCCATATATTGTAAATTCACCCTCAGCATCCAAGACATCATATTGACTCGTCATACATGATAGTAATTGTATATATGACACAATAAATTATAATTATATAATTATAGTAATAATAATATATTTGTGACATAAATACAGCATATGCCATGCATGACAAGTCAGGATATGTATGTAGTAGTAGTAGTAGTAGTAGTAGTAGTAGTAGTAGTAGTAGTAGTAGTAGTAGTAGTAGTAGTAGTAGTAATATAATAATAATAATAAATTGAAATAAAAAATGTAATATTAAGCATCTACCAATTATATCAGAATGCATATTAATTATAGCAGTATTTTAACAGTAAATATGCATTAAGCAGTAAATATGAGGAAAGACTAAGTCAGTGATATCCAACAATTGCTAGAATAGTGAAATCCATGACACTTGTTCAAATAACTGATATCATATGTTTACCAAACATTTATAATTACATTGATAAGGCCTCAAATATGTATTGTATCTTTATGTAAATGGGTCCATATTTATAGCGTTGTAGGTATTAATGAACAATCAGTACACTTGAAATAAAATTTACTATCATAAAGTAATATTGTAATGGGACGGTCGCACATAGCAGATGACGACACGAACAAAATATTTTATTAAATTAAGAACCGCGCCGCCGTTACGAGAGCAGCCGGACATGCCGTTTCCTGCATACCTGGGAGGGCCGCTAAGCGCCGAGGGAAAGGAGGAAAGCGCCTCCTTTGTGCAGCGCAACTCACGCCGGACGCACCCCTCCTGACGTACGAGGAAATACGCCACACGCACCTCCAAACCGAGCAACGGAATTACCCGCGCCTATTTATGAGAATTTAAGTGACGGAGGAAACTTCGGGGGAAGTTGCTGGGGGCGGCTTTGCCGCTGGAGCCGTGATAGGCGGATGGATTCACGGGTGGCGCGTCAACCAATTGGAATAGACAATGCGGAGGAGGAATCACGTGGCTCGCGAGCCCTCCTGAGGGACCGCCGATGAAAGGATCGATCACTTGTTTCGGAGGCGGCAGGGGGATCACTTGTCGGAGGTAGCGAGGAGGCCACTTGTTTTCGGAGGCGGCAGGGAGAGCAGTTGTTTTTGGGGAGTGCACTTGGTACTTTGATTGGGAGCCGGGACTATTCGTGACTGGTCGCCCCGAATGCCACGCCATCTCGCACACATCGCAGCCCGACTCGTCTGACGGAAGCCGAACGCTGGACGGGACACCACGAGTGAGTGCCTGACCGAAAGGGCCATGTGAGTACGAGCCGGGGCGTGAAAGACAATATCACGAAGCGACCCGTCATCACATCGGCCCTGCCGACCGCCCGCGCTGAGCAACGCTGAGACGCCTTCCGGTCGACGCACACCGCTGGCCTAATCCGGGACTGTGGGCCGCCACCGCAATCGCCGAGTAGCCGCCACAAAGGGAGCTGGGGCAAGCACCGACCGTGGCTGCCCGCCGCCAGACCTGCCGGGCGCTGGGATGCCCGAACGCCGCACCTGCCCGGGAGGGCGAATAAGATGAACTCTGGCCATGCCGGCCTTTTTTAAGTTAAGATTAGTTATAAGTTAATTGTAAGTTTGTTTATGTTACTGGGCTTCACTCGCACCGAATTCAAGAGTGATTAAAGTAGTATTAAGAAAATGCCTAAGTCTTTCTCTCCAGTAGTTAGTCAATCACTCATGCCTCCCTCTAGGGAGTTTGTCGACGAAGCAGCCGGGCAAAGCTGAATCGCCGAAGGAAATCAGTTGAGTCTGTGGTTACAATATATATTACTGAAATCATTATAACTTTTTACTTGCATATGTTCACTGTTGAAGGAAATTTATGCATTTCAGACTGGGAAAAAAAAAAAAATTAGAACTGGCCTTTAATGAAGACAATCTTTTGGAGAGTTGAAAAATGTTTGTAACTTCTGTTATAATTTGTGACTTCGGTTATAGTTTAAAAAAATTAAAATTGAACAACCAGTTTTGACTTACATAGAGGATAGTATTCACATTTAATCTACAGATCTCATTTTCTGCATTCTCATTTAGATCATAGCCATGAAAACATTACAGTTCCAAGCTCCAGTATTGACAAAAGAGACATAAGGATTTCATTGCTTCTCTGTTAAACTTTCTTTCTTTTTCTTTTTCTCTTCTAAGTGAAACCTGTGATAAGCGATAATTACTGGTTCCAACAAAAATTGGTCATTCATTGAGGTGGCCACGTAATCAAGGTTATTAAGGTTATTGAGGTTCTTGAAAGCATAACTCAAATCTAATGCTGTGCTAATTGCTATGAAATGAGGTATGTCCTCTTTAATATTTTTAATTACTGTAAATGACAAAATACAATTTAAATAAGGTATTTAGGGTCTTTGGCCTTCTCTCTGCTAATATCGAAACACAACAAGGAATTAGCAAATGATTAGATTGGATTCACGCAAGCATTGTGTTCTGTGAATACTCAACAGATTTCAATAGAAGGGAAACACAAGTTACAAACCACAGGAATGCTGTGAAATGGATGAAGCAAATGCATTGTTTCAGTTAAGAGATACTATTTATTAAAATAATCTCTTGCTACCTGAAACATAAATTAATTTCCCTACAAAAGACAAGTGAATCTGGATGTCATTGTTTGGAGTATCCTGACATGTACCATTACAGGGAGGTATTAAATCAACAGTAATCTCCACAACTATTACATTTCTTATTACAAAACTGTTCAAAATTGCTTGGAGTGACAGCTTAATAAAAGTTACTCTACAAAATGTGCCTTGTCATTGGCTGCTAAGCCAATGGCCACTGAAAACAGGAAATATTTACACTTCGTCTTATGGGAAAATCCAATGGTTTCAAGAAAAATGGCCATTAATGAAGGTGACTGCTTAATCAAGGGAGCCATTTCAACAGGTTTCAATGTAATTTAAAATTCAGTGACCCTCACTTATTAAATACTTTATTTTATATATCCTTATTTTATTACAGGTTAGAGCATAATGCATTCATACCTGTACTCTATCTCATCTCTATTTTTATAATGTAAGGATATGATGCAACACTAACAAGTTCTACCTTCATTATCTTATGGAATTTTGCAACCCAATAACAGCATCATAATATGAAGTATTTCATATCTCCTTGTTCATGAAAAAGTGTGTATGCACACATAGATGGACTAACATACACATTCAAATGTATAAATACACACATCACATCCACACCTATCTCCCTTAACATTTTGTTGAGACTGTCATTACCTGTAACATTCGACATGCCAGCTGGATGATACAGTCACAAAGGAATCAGTATGTGGCAGGAAAACTAGAGGCCCAGGTAACAGGAACGATGGTAGAAATCGGATGAACGTGAATGTCTCTTGTTCAAAGAAGCACAGAGCACCATCTAATGTCTGAACGCAGATGAAGTCTCTATGGGACACTCCTCCAAAAGGACCCACAACAACTGAAAATGCTGAACGCCTCAGCTGATGTTCATAAGCCAGTAATATTTGATTTTGATTTCCTGAAACAAAAAATTGTAGTTACAACTACTGCACAAATTTAAATCAAAATGCCAGCATGGCAGTGCAGATTTCTAGCTTTGAACAACGCGAAATGAGGGGGAAGGATGCATTTTGCGTCATCCCATTATCTCAAAGATTCTACAGCCCCTCCATTTGGAGTAGAATATAAGTTTCTCCTCTTTTTTTATATTCCTTCAATGATTCTCCTATAATGTTTCTACTCAATTATACAAGTTTTTGTTTGTTATATGACTTCCTGAAATTCTTTTGGATAGCTGCTTGAATTGTCAAATAGCTGTGAAGATGCAATCATGGCCTCATCCCAGAGTTACCAATAGAAATTCACCTGGTAGATGGTTACCATATTTTCCCACCACCTAAACTTCACTGACATGTAAGTAAATCTGTTCTGCACTTTATTTGTTAATCAGATTATTGTAACCTCTTTGCATGGCTCTTCCTCTCTTCTTCCAGGTATCCAGAACACAGTCCTCCATTGCTCTTTCACATTTCTCCTGTTCCTGCCAGGATACAATCCTCACCTGCCTCGCAATGTGAGGATTGTATTACGGATCGCTAAGCACTAATTTCTCCTGCTAGGATACAATTCTCACCTGCCTTCACTCCCTTCAGGTAGCCTGTAGACCCATCATTAGGCTTAGAGCCTGTTTCTATTGGTTTCTCAGTAGATTATTAGGCTTCTAATGCTCCTGCTGTTAGCACCTCTTTAATGATCTGCTTTTATCTCTGATCCCTCTTGGTTTGTTCTTCGAGATCAATTTTGGCAAGCTATTGCTCATTCTCTGTAAATGATCTTTCCATCACTTTTGAGTCTGTTCTATCTCTTCTACTAAACCTTTGGTTTTCAATTTCTTTCTGATATCTTTATTTCTCACCTGTCTCATAAAAATCTCATATGTGCCACCTGTAGTCTTCGTTTGACTCTTTCTTTCATTACCCAAGTTTGAAAGCTATACATGATTCTAGGTTTAGCAACTATATTGTAGAGTTATAGTTTTGTTTAAGGGTCCATGTCTCTGCCAAAGTGTCTCTTGTTTCACATATTTTATTGTAGTTATTAAGTATCTTTTCTACATCTTCATGAGTTTGTTTGTATTTATATTTTCAAGGTATGAAAATTTACTTGTTCCACTATTTTTCTATTTATTACTATTTTGGCTCACCTTTCTTCCTTGCCTTGTATTGCCATAACATTTCTTTTCTGAACTGCATACTTCATGGAATATTCTTGGATCACTTTTGTCAATTAATAAACTGTTCTCTGTAAATTATCTTCAGAATCCATTATGATAGTTAGGTCATCAGTATACAACATTATGTCTATCTTCTGGTCTTTTGTGATCTGTATTCCTTGTCTAGCCCTCCTCCTCCAGTTTCTCACTAAGTGGTTGTTATCTCAAACTTCATTTCATAATTACAAAACATATAATACAATCATAAAAAAAGTAATCAAACAAGCAAAAATTATGACAAATGATAAGTACATTGCAAATGCACATAATAAAACAAAAGCTATGTGGGACATTATTAAAAAGACTACAGCACCAAATAATAATAACAGAAAAAATATAGAGCTCCACTACAAAAACAAAACTGTACAGACCCACAAGAAATAGCTGATATATTCAATGAACACTTTTTACAAATTAGTAATAAGTAAATCCCTGAACACTTTCTAAACAATAAAACACACCAACCAAACACTAATATTACACAGATTGTAAATTCCATATTTTTAAATGAAACCACCCCCTCTGAAATTTTTAAAACCATTGGACAAATGGAGAATAAATTCACAGCAGGCATGGACAACATTCCAGATTTTCTTATTAAACACAGTGCTCCATGTATAGTGCAACCACTCTCTCACATCCGCAATTACTCTCTAAAATCAGGCATATTCCCAGATATATACAAAACAGCAAATATTGCTCATAAACACTAACCCGGTAATGATATCTCATGAAACTACCATCCTCGGTCTAACAATTTAAGAAAACCTAAAATGGAATGCTCACATCTCAAACCTTAACAAGAAGCTCACCAAATCTTGCTATGCCCTAAACATTCTCAAGTCAAGCTCCAACATTGAGACACTTCGAACAAAGTATTTTGCAAATGTGCACTCACACCTAAAATATGGAATAATATTCTGGGGAAATGCCCTTGAAAGCACTCGCATATTTATTATCCAAAAACAAATATTGCTAACAATGACCAGTACTCATAAGCTGGAGTCTTGCAAACTCTTGTTTAATAAACTAAGGATTCTTCCTCTACCATGCATGTATATATTTGAAATAGTGGTCTTCACAAAGAAAATTCTCATGGAAAACAAAGACACTTTTACTTTAAATTCTGATGCACACAACTACAACACCCGTCAATAGGATAACCTACATGTTCCCCGCTCTGAAACTACACTTTATCAAAAAAGTATCCTAATATAGGGCATTACACTTTACAACAAACTAGGCAATGATATCAAAGACATAAACACAATTCATACATTTAAAAGTAAATTGAAAGCTTTCCTGGTTAACAACATTTTCTACAGTGAAAAAAAAAAATTAAAATTACAACATTTCCCTTAAGAAATATAAAAATTTCTTATCGCATAAGACTTTCTATTTCGTGTTAACTGTTTCAAGCTGAAGCAAAGAAAAAAGAACTGGCATATTGCATCCTGTAAAGTAGAAGGAGAATGTCTAACAAAAAAACAAAACAAAAAAGAATTCTGTTTCTCTCTGGATTTGCTAGACACATTAGGTGCTGCAGTAGGACTACTTGTACAAATTGAAAGAAGAAAAAAAATGGTCAAAACTTGCCTCCTCACTATTTCAAGTTTTAAATATCGAATGTTCTAATATTGTTAAATTTTATGTAGTTGCTTACAGAATTGATACGTATTGTTTTAAAATCATCGCCATTATTATTATCATCATCATCTTATGAGGCCTTCTACGTAGCCAGATACAAGAAGCAACTCAATATTTATGTAAAATTAAATTTAAGGAATAGAGGTAGATATAATATTCCATGATGAAATGAGTGACTATTTGATTTTCTGTGAAATTTAATCTCAACGTTTAGCAATATTAGAAAGTTTATTAATGCATTTTACAGGGCTAATAATGCTGTAATCGGCATCTTTGAAGTCTCTTTGATAATGGCAACTTCAAACAGATCAAGCAAAACAACATAAAAGCAGTAATAGAACATCAATATAAGACAATTATGTGAAAATACTTCAAATCCTTTTAGCTTCAACAAGAGAACTGCAAAAAATAAGGTGTACTGGCTTATTTAATAAACTTAAAGGAAGTTCCAGACTCCTTTGTTAACAACAAACATAATAATTTCTGAATTAAGCAATGCAAAAGGTTTAAATTTGGGTTTACCATGCTCAGTTGCTCCAGATTTAGTTACAAAATTGTACACTGCCACACTTCGAGGATGCAACAAACACAACTGAATGCTTTGAGAACCACTGAAAGCAATGAAGTCAAGTTACATTGGGCACTCACAAATACTTATTGAAACAAGAACATTAATTTAGTAATATAAAATCAACATTAAAATCAAACAATGACTTACGAAACTAGTTTTCCACAACACACTTGAAGAATTGGCTGCTGAAGGTGCACTTCCAATAAGAGATCATTGGGGCGATACCCAATAGCTCTTCCATCCTCATTTTTTTTATAAGAAGGTTCGTATATTCTTAAAAACCCATTATGACTGCCTACTATAATTTTCTCACTACTTCCACTGAGTTTGGCTACACTGATACATTTATGATCGTATGATTCATCAGATCCGCAATTTGTGACCCATAAGTCACGAACTTTAAACAGTGACATCTTTTAAATTACACAATTTGCGGCTAACTTTTCATTTAAAAAAATGCGATTACTCTTGAAAGAATCCTTATAACTATGGATCATAGGTTACCTGTATTTTTCTGTACAACAGAGTACTACACAGCAATCAGTATGTTTTTAAATTAGTGAATGTTATCTGTTCCAGAACTGAATGTTGGCAATAACAAATATAGGACGCATGGTTAATTGAAATGTTCGATTAGATTTACCTTCATAATTAACATTTGAAAACCCACATGCAAATTTCGGAAGGAATGCCTGACGTGCAGTGCGGACGTGACTACACATTTAAAATTCCCTTCGGCCACAACTTTTCCCAACTTTTTTTGACAAGACCTGTCAACTCGTACATCAGCTCTTATGCGTAGAGAGTGTAATGAAGCTTGATAAAAATTGATACTGACTTCGAGACGATGGACAAATGTGCAACGACTTATCTATAAGGCTTTATGATTAATATCATAAATGCACCCTGTAGTACAATATATCTTTGTTGTTGTGGCAACAATATTTGTCCACACCAGTGGAGATTCTTTGATGGTTCATGTCTCGCAGCAGCATGTTCTCTGATTTAGCGTGACTCGCTACTTCTTGTTTCTGTGTGGTTTGTCTTGAAGAGGTTAGAAGAAGTGAGTTTTAAAAAAAATATTGATTATTTGAAACGAGTGGTAATTGCAATTGGTCACCATGTCAGAAACGAAGAAGACTGACAATAAACCTCCGAAAGGGAATGCCGAGAAAAAGACCGAGGAGGAGACAGCCGAGCTCTCGGAAGCGGATAAGCAACTTCAAGAAGAGTTGAATATGCTTGTTGAAAGATTGCAAGAGGACAATGAAAAATTATACCTTCCTGCTTTAGAAAGTTTACGCAATCAAATTCGAGCCTCAACCACATCAATGACAAGTGTGCCCAAGCCTCTGAAATTCATGAGACCCCATTATGACACAATGAAAACTATTTTTAAGAAGATAGTAGACCCCAAAACTAAGGAATTTTGTGCAGATGTAATTTCAGTACTTGCTATGACAATGAGTGATAGCCGTGATTGTTTAAAGTATCGTCTTATTGGATCACAGTGTGAAATTGGAGACTGGGGTCATGAATATGTCAGACATCTTGCTGCTGAAATTGCAGCAGAATGGGCAGACGTAAGTACTGACAACAAGCAGTTGCGTGAACAATTAGTTAAATTAGCTTGTCAGATTGTACCATATCATATGGCACATAATGCTGAAGCAGAAGCATGTGATTTACTGATGGAAATTGAACGTCTGGATCTTCTGGAGCAGTATGTTGATGAAAGTGCATACCCCAGAGTTTGTTTGTACCTTACAAGTTGTGTTCCTTATGTTCCGGATCCAGAAAACACCACTTTATTGCAAGTTGCTTTACGTCTCTTCAAGAAATTTGACCAGTATCCTCAAGCTTTACGTCTTGCTATGCAGCTTAATGATCGAGAACTCATTAAGGAAATATTTACATCTTGCAAAGACCTATCAATCCAAAAGCAACTTGCTTTTATGTTAGGCCGCCAACAAATATTTTTTGAGTTAAATGAAAATATTCCTGAAAATGATGATTTGGTTGAAATTATGTCAAATTCCCATTTAAACAATCATTTTCTAAATTTGGCACGTGAGCTTGACATCATGGAGCCAAAAACTCCAGAAGATGTGTATAAGTCTCATTTGGAAAATTCTCGACCACCGTTTGGTGGAGGCCAAGTAGATTCTGCTCGACAGAATTTAGCTGCGAGCTTTGTCAATGGTTTTGTTAATGCTGCATTTGGACAAGATAAACTTCTGATGGAAGATGGCAATAAGTGGCTGTACAAGAATAAAGAGCATGGAATGCTAAGTGCTACTGCATCACTTGGATTGGTTTTACTTTGGGATGTTGATGGAGGTTTAATTCCCATTGATAAGTATCTGTACTCTTCAGAAGATTACATAAAATCTGGAGCTCTACTTGCTTGTGGAATTGTAAACTGTGGTGTGCGAAATGAGTGTGATCCAGCTCTTGCATTGTTATCAGACTATGTTCTACACAACAGCAATGTAATGAGGATTGGTGCTATTCTTGGTCTCGGATTGGCGTATGCTGGTTCAAATCGTGAAGCAGTTTTAAGTCTGTTAACACCAGTATTGAGTGACAGCAAATCTAGCATGGAAGTCATTGGAATGGCTGGTTTGGCATGTGGAATGATAGCTGTCGGGTCCTGTAACCCTGATGTCACAAATACCATCTTACAAACACTCATGGAAAAGTCAGAGTCAGATTTGCATGAAACATATGCACGGTTCCTTCCATTAGGACTTGGACTTTGTTACTTAGGTCATCAAGAAGCTGTAGAGGCAATAGTAGCTGCCTTGGAAGTTATTCCTGAACCATTCAGATCCATGTCAATGACTATGGTAGAAGTATGTGCATATGCTGGTACAGGAAATGTGTTAAAAATTCAGCATTTATTGCACATTTGCAGTGAACACTACGATGCTCCTGAAAAGGATAGCAAGAAGGATGACAAGAAAGACCAGAAAGAAGATAAGAAGGATGAAAAAGATTTGTCATCACGACAGGCTATTGCTGTGCTGGGTATTGCTTTAATAGCTATGGGAGAAGAAATTGGTTCAGAAATGGCCTTCAGGACATTTGGACATTTATTGCGTTACTGTGAGCCAGTGATTCGAAGATCTGTTCCACTGGCATTGGGTCTCATATCCGTCTCTAATCCTAAACTCAATATTTTGGAAACATTAAGTAAGTTCTCTCATGACAGTGATTCAGAAGTTGCTCACAATGCAATTTTTGCAATGGGTTTGGTGGGTGCTGGAACAAACAATGCAAGATTAAGTGCTATGTTACGCCAACTTGCTCAGTTTCATGCAAAGGATCCAAACAATCTTTTCATGGTCCGGATTGCCCAGGGTTTGACACATTTGGGAAAAGGTACCTTTACACTTTGCCCATACCACAGTGACAGGCAGTTATTAAGTCCTGTTGCTGTAGCTGGTTTACTTGCGACTCTTGTGGGATTCCTTGATGTCAAGAATATTATTTTGGGACGTTCACACTATTTATTATTCACTCTGGCTGCAGCAATGCAACCACGTATGTTGGTAACTTTTGATGAAGAATTGAATCCTCTTGCTGTACCTGTGCGAGTAGGTATGGCTGTTGATATTGTTGGTCAGGCAGGCAAGCCAAAAACTATCACTGGTTTCCAGACCCACACAACACCTGTACTTCTAGCTTTTGGTGAAAGGGCAGAACTTGCAACAGAGGAATATACACCTCTCACACCCATAATGGAGGGTTTTGTAATATTGCGAAAGAATCCAGAAATGGTTTCAGCTTCATAAAGGTTTCATTATTTATGTATTTTTAAAATTAAAACTAAGTTAATATGCTTTATTTTGAACTGTGGCAATGCACTAATGTCAAGTACAATTTATAAAACTTTTTTTGTGAATGAAGTGATAGCTTGAATAAATGTGTCTTCTATAAAACTTACTGGTGTTTTAATAGACTTTGAGTATTGACCTTCTTTGTTATTTTCTCCTAGTGCATTATTGCATTCCAACACAAAATATGTGTAAGAATCATTTAGTAATAATTAAATGATTCTGAGATCAATTGAGGAATACATGAGGAAAGAAAATAATAAATTTAGGAATTTTTAATTTCATTCCCAATATAATAAGCAAATAGGGAAGAATAATTCATGAAAATGAGATACTGATTTGGAGATTATTTATAAGTCTTTCAATAATTGAACCAAAATGAACTTTTCTCTTTCAGTCAGAAAAAAGTTAGTGTCAAAAGTGTTTGAAAGCAAAAATACTATATTTTTATCATGGAACATTTGCAATTTTTTCAACTTGTGCGTAAATAACTTTGTATTTATTAACGCTGAAGTATAGGGTACTACAAAAAAATTTATTACAAATTACATTACTTTGATTGTGCAATTTAAATGTTGAGGAGAAAATATGTTAGGAGATTCTTTGATTATGCTTAGAAGAAACATTCTTGGAGCATTCCTGCCTGAGATTGTGTGGCATGAGAAACTAACAAAGATTTCCTATATTATTTAAATATGTTACAAGTAAAAATGTGAAGGGGCTAGCAATGATAGCATTGTTATTAATGTATACGCAAGTAATTTGTCATGATACAGTAGCTCACTCTAAGGCTTATGTCTAAAATGTCCAAGGCGAGATAAGAAAAATAAATTTTGGCGATTAAAATTTACTATTAAAATTTATAACAATAAAAGCAGCTTATTTTTAAAAATTATTTAAAACTTAAAAAGAAAGGGGAAAATACAAGGTCTAAATCTCATAAGGAAACCGATGATTGTTGGCATGTTTAACAGACCAAAACCCACATTATTGTAATCTTTTTTTAAATTTTATTCAGAAAGACTTTAATGCCTGCAAATCCATTCATAAGGAAACTTTTAAGGAATTAAGATGCTAACCAAACTTCTTTGTTGTGTTTTACGAAGAACATTCATAGTACCTTTTAACATCATTCTACCCAAGTGTGATTGCAAAATTAGAATAACTTTGAATTATGGAGATCAGAAGTACAAGTTAAAGTGTCATTTCTACTTTATCAGATTTGATGAAGTATTTATGTCTAGATTATTTATGGAACATGCAATTTCCAGTTTATCTTCAGTGGTAATTGTATTGCCCAGAATGTGAACAATACAGTTGGGATGTGCCGATGTGCAGAAGAATTTGTATTCATATCTCGTGATACATGAGCTTCTTTGTGATTTGAAAATAATTTGGTCTCTAATATAAAATTAGTGGTGCTACAACAGCACATACTTTCTAGCATTATGTAAAAATTTTGCAATTTTCAAAAATGCAGAGAATGCAATGAAAATCTACCTTGTGCCATTTTTTATAACCACTAGAAGAGGAAAACATGGGAGCAATTTTTGAGAAAATTTTGAAAATGTCCTTGAGTCTTCTTGTACAGTAAAGATCAAAATATTAGTTTCAAATTCAAGGAGTGGTGATTTCAGCCAGATGGATCAGGGAATATCTATTTTCTTAAAAATCCTACTTTCGGTTTAGCATTATTCACTGACGCAAAGACAATTGTTTTGCCATAAACCAATTATTTTGCATCAAAGATCCATATATCTTGGATCCTGACTACAATGTGTCAGAGGAAGCTATTTAATACATACACAAACAAAAATTATCCACTTTTTTGGAATCAGGGTCACACAAAACTAATTTCTTCTGTTGAAAAAATTGCCGTTATTTGCTACAACATTACAAGACTTGCTCTTTGCTGTGTAAGTAGTATATAAGAAAGTACAAATCTCTCTCATCTATAACTAGTAACAGCCCAGGGGTGAATCCAAATAGTATTTTAGTACAGGGTAGTAGCACCCCCCATAAATATTTTTCAAATATTAAAAAAAAATTATTGTGAACTTAAAAAAAATTTAAAATTAATATTGAAAATGAGAAGACTCTTTTGGATGCAATGAGATCAATGTGTGGTAATCCTTTTTAATAAATTGAGTAAAGTTATAAAATATCTGGTGGTCTTCAGCAGCAAAAAATGTTTCTGAACAAAACGGTTTTCCAAAAAATAACACACACACTGCTCAAGAACTACAAATAAAATACTCTCTATTACCATGCAATAAATTACGTATTTTAACAAAAGCAGTCTTCACAAATAATGGAATAATAAAGTTATATATGGATTCACAGTACAACAGTTCACTTTACCTACCAAGAACATCAAAACTTGCTGTTCCATAATGCAAGAAATGAATAGCAAATATTTAATGCCAAGTAGCCTCTATTTTGGAGCCTTATTGTTACATATTGTATCACAAAATAAACCACACACAAAACAGCAACGCATGGATAACAAAGGGTATTAAAATTTTGAGTGAAAGAAAAAGAGCTTTATAAACTCACAAAAGAACACTCATGCAATCCTCACATAGTGAACTACTATAAGTGATATTCAGCCATACTCAAAAAAGTTATAATAAAGGCCAAACATATGCCAAATGAGGAGTATATAAAAAAATCCAAAAATAAAACAAAAGCTATGTGGAATATTGTAAAAAAGACATTACCAACAAATAAAAAATAACACAAAATATTTGAACTAGTCCATGAACACAGAAGAATAACAAACCTTAATGAAACAGCCAGTTAATTCAACAAACATCTCTTGAAATTGCTGGTAAACTACTAAAAACAAGAAATCCAAAACACTTCCCCTCTACAATGATCACCTTTCTTTGAAACTAGCTTTCTAGCGCATGTACTTCACAAACATCAAGAAAAGGAAATACTTCAAATTATAAACAAAATGCCAAATTAACAATCTGCTGGGATAGACAACATTCCGACTTCTTAATAAAAAAGATTGCTCCATACATCATCAAACCATTAACATTTTTATACAACCAATTACTAACTCATGAACTCATGGCTCCTTCTCAAACATATTTAAAAACTGCTGTAATTAAACCTATACACAAAAAAAGTAACAAACAAGATGTAAGGAATTATAGGCCAATCTCACTGTTGTCACTTTTTTCAAAATATTAGAAAAACTGCTTATGAAAGATTAAAAAAACTACTTATACGCTGTAACATTATCACTGACTCTCAATGTGGATTCAGGAAAATAGTTCAACTGAAACTGCTCTATTCACCTTTGTAAATGAAATTCCTCATGCAATTAGAGCAAAAAGAAATTCCTGTTGGTCCTTTCCCGACCTGTCAAAAGCCTTTGACACATTAGATCACACAATTATATTGTCAAAATTAGAAATCTTATGGAATATGAGAATTGCTTACAATTGGATAAAAATCATACCTATCAGACCGAAAAAACAAATAGTAGTATTCCTTACCAAATAGATAACAAAATAAATAACATCACTCGAGCCAAGGAAGTGTACATATGGTGCCACAGGATCCACACTAGGCCCGATTTTATTTCTTATATTTGTAAATGACCTGCCATCAATAATGGAAAACAACAAACCATACTTTTTGCTGAACACTAATATAATATTCAAAGAAAGAACAAACATTGCTTTGCGAGACAAGCAAAGTTGGTAGTCGTTTTGTGGCTTCCATCCAGCAGACAACTGATGATGATGGCCTGCTATCGAAAGCTAATCTTACATTAAATAATATTGTTGGCAATGACAACGTCTATAATTATTTCATGAAAAATGCCAACGATAACACACCACAACACCTATATTGCAAGACAAAGCCAATTTAGCCATCAACAAGCTAGTTCAATGGATCCACCATAAAAAACTAATCCTAAACTGAGACAACACAATCACAATACCCTTTCACAACTCCCACTCAACTCACCAAATTTAACATTAGAAGGAAACAGCATCAGACACGCACAGAAAACAAAATTTCTCGGAATCACCATACAATCCGACCTCAAAAGAAACTCTCACCTAGAAGATATTAATTCAAAATTGAGCAAACTTAATTATGCTCTTAGAATAATAATAAAAGGAAGAAACACCACCATTGAGACAGCACGAACAGTGTACTTTGCAAATGTGCACTCTATTCTCAAATATGGGATAATAATATTGGGCCAAGCACCAGAGGCTAAAAAAACATTCAAAATACAAAAGAGAATCATTCAAACAATAATACAAAAAGAACACAGTCCTGCAGACCTCATTTCAAAAAACTTAACATACTTCCACTGCCTTGTATTTTTATTTATGACGTTATCATGTTCGTAAAGAAAAATCTAGTAAAAAAAAAAAACGTAAACACTTTATTATAACATTCAGGAATACCTCGATGACTAACATGTGCAATGTGATTTCAGGTGCTGCAGTAGGACTAGGGATAGGGGTAGAAATAGGAAAAAATCTGCCTAGAACCTGCCTCCTCCCCATTTCAAGATTTTATCAAGGAATATACTAACACTGTTAAACCATATGTAGCTGTACCATAATTGTTATCATTTACTGTTAGTATTACTATTATAATTATTTTATAAGTAATGTTATCTATTATATTATTATTATTATTGTTATTATTATTATTATTATTATTATTATTATTATTATTATTATTATTAGCAGTAAAATCACTATATCAAGAAAATTATATTCTAAAATGAAGTGGTATAAATCTTGAAATGTTAAAATATTTTAAATTAAATTAAAGTAAGTCAAATGTTCAACTATTTGCTGCTAAAAATAATTATCTCCTATGTAATATCTAAATATATCCGTAACAAGTATTGTATAATCACTAAGCCAAAGACCCCATCTTGATCAGGTTCTTGGTTCAGTTTCCCTGGTCCTTCACGCAAAAGCTGAGATGGCCCCTTGCTTCTGGACAATAAAAATAAATGTAACTTCACTCGCTGCTTCCAAGATGAATGCGATTGTACTTCCTCTAAATATATCATATTTGACCTCCTCATACACGATTGTAATTGTATGTGACTCAATAACTATTATTATTATTATTACTATTATTATTATTATATTATTATTATTATTATTATTATTATTATTATTATTATTATTATTATTATACAGTAATCCTAAGATTACCATCTCCTAGATAAATGTGGGTATATGGGAATACATTGTAATAAATAAAAAAGTTAGAACAAAATATTTTATAAAATGTTGACTTACTGCTTACAAAGTGACTTACAAAAAATTCAATTTCATATGCTAGCACTTCGTATAATATAATTTGTCTTTGAAATGCAGAACCTGACAATTTAAAAAATACACACATCTCATCAAAATACTAAAAAAAGTGATGTAAATAATATTAAATATTTAATACTCACAAACATTCGAACTCAGTTCTTGAAACATTTGTAACTACATTTGAACACATACCAATTAACCTTATAATTTGTAACATTCCTTTGGTTTTGCTATAGACAAGAAAGAATCTGACATGTATACAACCGTAATGCTAAAAAACATGTGTCACTACACTACAGTCAGTATCAAATTGAAAACCTTAAGAGTAACAAAGTTTGATTTAAATTTTACCCACTTCATACTGATATAATAATACACTTGAATCTAGACTAGTAAAATCTACAATTGAAAAACAACTACCAGTTTTATAAACAGATCTAGTGAACATTTAACATTTGCCCTTATGACAGAAGTTCTTTCTGGACTTATTAGATGTATATATTATTACACATTCCTTGAAAAAAAATTATTGATTAATAGAATGAACAATAATAAACCTTTTAAAAAATAAATGTTTTAACTATACACAAAAAATATTGTAAGTAACATATGTCAATAAAATTTGTTACCAAGATTCACACAACTTGTACCACCAACCAGAAAATAAATAAGATGCAAACTTGAGATTCTCAAAATTAATTTACTATAAATCTCATGAGTTCTTGCAAATTTATGAATGCTATAATATATTGCAATAACAAAATGTCTTCAAAAAACATATCCACCTTCTGTTAATTGCATTTGAGGAAGCTCCAGAAACCATTCATGACATTTGCCCTGTGATATGCGCTAGAAAGCACTAAAATATGCTAGGATAATGTTCATCTACTTGATACCATCATTTACACAATTGTAATTTGCATTACAGTCTCAGTAACACAAATATTTGGAACATAGAAACTTTGAAACAAATATACAAATGGTCAAGGCAAAATCAAAGTGTAACACAGTCTAGAAAACAACCCAAACACAAAAGATTAAACGAGCATCAAATACAAATGTTTCCATTGCACACCAGGTGCCAACAAATTCCTTGAATATCCTTCAATGATTTGGCATACATTCAGATGTCCATTGCTTCATCAACAGCATTGGACATTTGAGCATTAACAACATTCTTGACTTCTTCACACAAATAACATTTCAAGTTTTCCTGAAACAAATACATGAAGTTTTAAAATAACTTTAAATCAAAAATAATTATTCTAACATTCAATATAAATTAATTGAACTGTACTTACTTATCTAATGAATTTGTTCTCATTACAGGAACAGTGGGTTTCACATTCTGAAATACAATTATTGGCAAAAGTCAATATAAAACAAATATTTCAACTTTTTTGTCCTCAGTGGTAAAAATTGTGTATTAAAAATGGTTCTTAATTAATATCTTCATTATTCATTAATAAATCATGTAAAATAAACTTCTTTTATCTTGTTATATATAACAGCATTGAATTACAGGTTAAAAATATGAACAAAATATTAATATCCAATTACTACTGGTGCTGGAGATTTTCCCTCAGAATGGTAAACATTTTTCTAAGTAGATTACAATTTATTTAATTTGTTTCTTAGAAACTGCAAACATTAAATTAAATATTTTACATTTTTATTGTTATTTTATATTAGTAGGTCAGCTTTAGCATGATACGGTTAGGGCATTAATTTCGTGAAATTGTACTAAGTAGATATGTAAATACGATGTGTTTTTGACATACATGTAATCCAAAAAACTCCAAACAATGTTTGTTTGAGTGTTTTGTGTATTTATAGTAATTGGAAAATGATAATATCAAAAACACTTCTGTTATTTACTGAAAATGAATATCTCACAGAAATTGCGGTGCTGTTTGAATAATAAAAGTGTGAATGTGTTATAAAATCCAACTTTGATTCTACCAGGTTCCAGAAATGGAATATTTGCAACAAAATTTTGTTTAGGGTCCTATTTCTCCCACACTATCAGTTACATTCATAAGAAAGTCGCATCTCCAGGGTTAATCTGAGTGTGAAGGGTGGTGGCAAAAACATTAAACAAAAAATTTCTATTTTAAAAGCATTGGAGTTGCACAGCTCTGCGTTTTAAACATATTACAATGTGGTAATTTGAAATCAGTGTTTGTTGTCTTTCACAATCGTAACTTAGCAGCCATTCTGACACTAACCTTTCCTTTGCTTTGATTGGACACTGGAGGAAGAGCAGTATCAGTTACATGTTGATGTGGAAGTTCATAAGTAAAATTTGCATTTGCAAGTTTCATACAATCTTCTAGAGTTCTTATAAAAGTATCACAGGTTGCTCCCAGTAAAGAAGTAGCTTCATCCAGTTTCTGAAAATTACAAATAAGTTCACTTTAATAATATCGATGTTGATGCAACATTATGCGAATTGATATTTGAGACTATTTGTTTCCAAATAATAAAATATCCTACTTTAAATAAAATGTGTACTATTTGTATTAAAAATTATTTAGAAGTTTGCAGGAAGAAAGAAAGCAAAAACATTAGTGATAAATGATAATTCATAGTTTTAACAAAAATGAAACTTGTACCATCATAAGTGCACTTTTATTCCATTTAGAACATAAATGTTAAAGAATGAACTTTGAGTGAAAAGTTTCATGAAAAGTAGCCCTTGAAATTAAAAGAGTCCCTTCAAATTCATGTTTCAAGATGAGCAAGTCAGATTGCAGACTGTCTCTATGGAAAATTACTCTGACAATACAGTTTAAATGCTAATTACAAGAATTAATGTACCAACATAATGAAGAGATGTTTTTCAGGGAAAAAAAACAAACCTGTTAGTTCTCCCAAAACACAATTTCCCTCAACATTGCAACATCCGCAATTTTAATTTTGTCTTTGGATTCTATATATTTATTTGTTTAATTTATTTACAATGCAGAAAATCACTCAATTTGCAACTTTACAACATCCAATTTTACAAAATGTTACGTTAATAAAAAATAATTGGTACATAATAAAATACAAATGTCCATAGAAAAGATACAAGAGATATGCTAGAGGTGTATTTGAAAATTCATTTCATGTTTGATGCAAATTTGATGTGTGCATGAATGGATTTGCAAGAATAGGCTTACATGTGATCTTACTATAACGTGTGAACACATTGTTTTACAAACATTGCTCATTTTGTAAAACAAGATTTTAAAGGTGAAAATAGCTTCATACTGGAAATCAACTTTGGAAGGCAAGATCCTGAACTGTCTGTTACAAGACCTGGTGTAGTGTATGGGTAGAATTGTAACAATGATGAGCACTGAGATTTAATTTCACACAACATCAAATAGTCACTTTAATATTTTCGAGGAAGAGTATTTCTGTTCCTTCTTCTTCAATTTAATTTTACATACATTTCGAGTTTGTGCTTGTTTTTGACCTTGCAAATTAATGTCGATATCAAGAAGAACTAAATCTCCCAAAACTTAAAAAAATATTTAAGTTAAGTCTAGTTTTTTAGATTATGGTATATGAAACATAATTTGTGACTCTCTGGCTTATATAGACAGTTACTGACTTATATCTGAAAAGATGTGTTGCAGTGAAAAGTAAGTTGTGGGTTACTTCTTTGCCTACTTTTCCCCATACATTATAATGTGCATACTTCTACATTTTTTGCCTTAAATTTGTTGAATGCAAGACCTAGGAGTAATTGCCTTTCCAGCAACCGCACACTTACAGGGTTTTGAGACATGGTTTCTTATAAATGGTATAAAACTGTCATCTTTCCTTAACATATAACGTAAAAAGCAGATAACACTAGCCACAAGCCACGGTTAATATCCAATAATGAACTAATCTAAACCTTTGTCATGGAAATGAAAAACTTATTTTTATTAATGTTTTTAAAAATCTCATCACACATACATATAGCCCAAATATTTATGTACTAAATCATTACTACCTTTTGCTCTTTTTATTAAACAATTTTAATTGTTTAACTTAATACAAATTAATATCTATTACTCTGGCAGGGGTTTGTTATCAATTGTCATATTATCAATCAGAATAATTATGTAAATAAAACGTGATAAGTTTTTGACAGTCAAACATAATACTTACTGTAGTTTCTGGTCCATTTTCATGCAATGCTGCAGTTTTAACCATATGAACTTGTTGCATCAGAAGATCACAGTACAATCTTAATTCTGATTTCTTTGATTTCAAGGTGTCTGGATTAGAATCTACAACAGATATCATTGCAAGCAAAAACAATGGCATTTCTGAAGTGTTTGAACATCAAGTATAAAAAAATATTTTAACATAATTTACCAGAGTCTTTTCTATTTCTTGTAGTAACACAAGCTTTCGCACTTCCCAATGCAACAAGCCATTGTTGTCGTTCCTGAGAAGTTGCAGCACGTAGGTAAATGTGCTGTTCACCAGGAATAACTAAATCCATTCGTGTGCTATCCACTGGATTTACTGTAAGTGCAGAAAAGGGTATTTTTTATTATAATAACAAATGAAATGTTTCCAGGCTAACAGAATAAAATCACACTTACCTATGATTTCACACGCAGACACTTTCAGGGATCCTTTACACCCTTGATTTACTTCTTCCTGAGATTTATAATATGCTAACACACCATCATCAAGGATGAACCACCTTGTCTGCCATCCTGCAGGACATAGTTGACATACTGAGTCTTGAATATCAAATGACATTTGTTATTACAAGTTTTATACTCACCGCTCCAATAATTTGTCCACTTCCAAAGAACACCTTCCATATCAGCAGTGTAAAAGTTGAATTTTCAACATTTCAAAAGAATATTACATAACAACAACAACAACAAAAAATAATAAAAATAAAATAAAATAACGCATGATCCACTGCAGGTACGAACACAATCAGATGTTCATTCTAAACCTAGACACGGTATTACTTAAGTGTTACAACATGTTTTTGCAGTATCTAAACATGAAATAAAAACGAACTGAATGTTTGACACATTTGTTGCCCATCAACTTCACTTTCGGTTTTTGCATGACAGTTGACACGTGTCCAACGCAACATCTGTCGACGTTGAAAACAGCGAGATCGATACATCCGCCACAGCTATCGTTCTAAATGTCTCGTTTTCACCGAGGTAAATGCTGGTACGCACGGCGCGCGCATTACGATTCTGAAAACCTTCTTTCGAAAAAAAAGTACTTTCATTATTTTCTAATAGACTTTCAAAATAATCTTTCTTCGTATGCGGATTGCCATTGTACCTCTTTGAGAGTAAAAATATAACATTCCATTGCAAATAAGTCTATAATTCTTAATGAAATCAATTTTATTTGATAAAAGTGTCACTTTGTTTTTAAATCACATGATTGCATGTAGCAAATATAAAATTATTGCTTCTACTTGGCTGTCAGGGAGACGCTGCTTTCTAAGTACAGATGCCAATGTTTCGGCCGTCATGCTCCGACCTTCGTCAGGGCGAAATGCTTATGGCTTAATAGTCATAGAGAATTATTATTGGCTTCATAATGAATGAATTATTATTTATATTAATTTAGCAGCCTCACAAACCCTGAATCTTATAAATGTTGAAAAAAGAGAAAACAGAGTTTTCTCTTAAAACATTCTTCGATAGAAGAATAGCATGATCGTTTAGTAAATTTAAATTTGCATGGTCGACGCGAGGCTGTGAAAATGGAATGCAAACAGGGAATTTATATATAACGATAATTTCAAATGAACGATACGTATGAATGGTAAAATGTCTCGATTATCGTTTTCAAAATTCTCTGAAAGGAAAGAGAGTGGATACATTCCAACGTTGCGTGTTACTTCATCTGGTTGGAACAGATATTGCTGTATATTGACAAATACTCATGATAGCGTAAACTAAATACCATTCAACATAAGAATCAGGTTGTTTAGGAATTAGATCATTTTAGAGCCGTCATGGGTATCCCACAGCGAATTAAAAACTATCCAAACTGATAATGAATATTAATACGTTGGCAATGATTTTAGCAAATATGATTTTATTCTCAAGATAAAAGGGATTTCACGAAGACTAAGTAGTCTATATAATACAGAGTAAAATGAAATTGCTCTGTTATATTTTTGAACAAATAGCTCTTTTAGGTATACCCACTGTGTAGCATATTGAGATTGTCGGAAATAAGCAAACACTCCAAAGTTTAGTAAAATTAAATTGGTGCGACAATAGGTGTCAGTAGATTCACTGATGATACTTTAGTCATGAGTTGAGGTCCGTAGAAAATCGAAGCATCGGGGTAGATTAGCTGAATTTTTCAAAGTTAGAGATCTTGGTGAAATGAAGAGTAGAAAAGGACATAATAAGTTTGAATGAAAGAAGAATCTACTGCACACGACGAACGGTGCCCGGAATTCTCGCTTTTGTGGAACGTTGATGCAGGTGCTAAGCATACAAGACAGTGCTACGACTTTGGCTATTTCTGATTTGTAAATGGTTAACTGGGCGAGTTGGATTTTGGATATTGTTAACTGTGATCAAATAAATAATTAGCTCGTCAATTCACGACCACATTACGAGTTTTTGATTAAATGACCAACGACTATTAACTATTCGTAGAAATAAACTGTTGTGATCGTATACTTTAGTTTATTTCTGAACGTATCAGAATACATGGCATTAAGCATTGCTGTCAAAGAAATAGTACATTTGCAAAAGTTTATGAATGAGTTTTGTGCAACTGACACAGAGATTATAACTACTCAGCAGACAATTTTGGTGCAGCAAAACTAGCTGTGAAACCTATATTTCAAGCAAGAACTGAACATAAATACGTACGTCATCATTTAATTAGAGAAGTAATGGAATTAATTTTGTGCATTTTGCGATAACTGAAATATCAGTTGGCATCCTAACAAAAGAGCCGACTAATCATATACATGAAACTTGTGTTAACCTATTGGAACTATCAAGAAAATCGACACAGAGATTATCTCGAAGAGGAAATATTGAATCCCAATACGAATAGTATGGCGATATAATTTGCGTGAATCACATATGGCTAATAAGATGAAATAACACTTATAGTTACTATGACTTAAGTGGAATAACACAAATAAAACCGAGAGCCTAATAGAAAAACTATAGTCCTTTATTACGTTTTCGTAAAAATACTGTTATATCACGTATGAACAATAATATTGAATATTGGTAACATGAGTGTGGTTTACAATATAAAAAACACATTTAGTGTCTGGATAACTAATTACTAGCAAATTAACCCGTGAGTCGCTTGAGAGAATTTGGACCAACGGCTTTATTTCATAAACAGTTTTGTTTGAGTGCATTGCATTTCCTTGTGATTTCAGTGTTTTCCCCTTACCTCGCTCGTGTCTCTGGGACGCGAAGCTGTTGCGCGGCCTGCAGCCCTTCGTGAGATCCTCCGCATCGAGGGTAATGTTTCCTTACAGCCAATGTGTCGTCTTGAGAGCAGAGAGTCAAGTTACATTCCTATCCAGAAGCCAAACAAGGGGCAATCTCAATACTTGCTCAAAGGATTTTGAAAACTGGAGAAGAAACCTGATCGAAACGGGGTCGTTGGCCTAGGAATTATATTACAATACTTGTAAGAGATAGATCAAGATATTATACAGTAAATAATTATTTTTGTAGCAAAATAATTTAACATTTTAAAATTTGTACTGTTTTTATGTTTAAAATAAAAGTAAAATTTATTTGTTAATGCTATTTTAATGTTACGACTCGTAATAATAATAATAACAATTACTATAATAATAACAATAATAGTACATGATATCAATTATGGTAACAACTACATATAATTTAACAATATTAGTACATTCATCTTTTAATTCTTGAAATAGTGAGGAGATGGAAGCAGGTTTTTTTTTCTCACGCATAGCCGACCGGCGCCTAACCGATACATCGCCCACGGAGACCTTTAGTCAACCTGCATTTCCTGTCATACTCCTACAATCCAAGGAGGCACAATCAACTTTCAGAAGGATAAACTAACACTTCCAGGAATCTCCAAGAAGTCTTTAAGACGAAAATTTCTTTAGACCTTCACCGAAGATGTGTAATCCCTGAAAGTGATGAGAATGAATGTGAAAGTAACTTGCTGGGTCTACTAGCTCTCGTTCGTAGGAGGACAATGTTTAAAAACAAAGTCACAGGCGCTTCAGTGTCTCGTTCGCAGGCTCTTGGGTCAAGGGCTGAGGTTCGTGCAGAGCCTCGTCGTTCGCACCGACGCCCTGAGAGCGAGCATTATAAGAACAGGTGCAATCACGCAATCTACAATATGCGCTTTGTTAGATATAATAGAAACTGTTTCATTGTTTTTGTATTCTTCTTACGTTCCTGATTATATAACGAAAATATAGGCACCCCTCAAAAAGTCGGAGGCAGCCTAGTTTTCTTTCAATTTCTGCGCGCGTTGGAAATTAGTAATACCTATTATCTATGTGAAAATAAAAGGGACTGTATAATGCGTGTGCTCTATATGTGTGTCGCACAATGACACAAAAACTACTCGACCGATTTCTCTGTAATTTTCACATTTAGTTTTTATTAGTTGTGGTAGTGTTTAAAGAGTGGTTTGAATTAAATTGGATAAGTGGCGCGTTGATGATTTATTAGCTTATGACGACTCAAGCGCTCCTGAACTCTAAGCAAGCCGCCACACACTCAAGGATTAAGCGCGTCTTTACACAAGCATTCTGCCCCTGCGATTGCGAATTATTGGCCGGAATTATTATTTGAATTTCGGACAAATATATCAAATTACTTCAAGATAGTGCCATAGCGACCGCATGCTCAAAGAGAGAAAGTCTTAACAATAGGATACTTGACAACCGCGACCAAATCAGAATAAAGAACAAGCACAGACTTGAGAGAAAGTCTTTCATCTATTAGAATTTTTACTCAGCGTAGCGTAAAACGTGATTACAAATCACGTGACCAGTAGTGAGTGATGTGTAAAACACTGCGATAGCGAGGCACTGTCGGATCCACCAATAGAACATAAAGTAAATTAGAATATAATACTCATATTTCAACTCAATCAATTGAGGTAATCGATTTTTCAAGATTTGCATGTCATGTGATTTGCCTTTGATGTTGCAAACAACCCGTTTGATTGTCTTTAGAAATACAGGATACCTTCCCATTACAATTTTAAGACTAATTAGACAATAATTTGGAGTTCTCTCAGTTTTTACATAATTTCTGTTTATACTAATAAGTCGGTTACGATTATCTTCTCGTGCTTTGCAAGAACATCTTGCCATAGGGGTGTCGTCAGTTACTTTTGACAGTCAGTTCAGTCTTTTGAAGCTTCGTAATATTTAAATGACTAACTCGACTAATTTAGATGGAGTTGATCTTTATTTGTTTCATCTTTCGCTGAAAAGGGGAATTTTCCGTCCTACCGGAAAATCAGCAAGATCAAACCAATTTGTACATCGTAAGATAATCCAGATGTGAAAAAGTATCCTTCAATTGCTTTACTGTACACTACAATGAAGGCGTTTGATTCTTTGATTTACAATTAATGGAATTTCTTATTTCACATAAGGGAGGAAGCACGTAGGAAACTGTGATTTGTTTGGTTATGTTTTTCAACATAGTAGGACTCACTCTTTTGAGAATTTATTAACGTAAATGTCTCAGTTGACAATAACAATGACGACCAAATTCTACTTTCATGTCTAGCTCCGTATTTTAGTAGATAGGATAATTCATATGTTCTTTTGAAGCTGGGTAGTTGTTTTCGTCAACTGTGACACATATGCGCATAAACTACCAAACGTGTACACATAAGGTTTAAAAAAGAGATGATCACAAACTTTGAAGAACTTCCTTTTGATTCAATAAACTGATCCTGTAAATACAAGCCAGAAGTTTACATTCCTCAAATCACGTTGAATGAATGGAAAGTAATTAATACGACGAACATTGCACTGGAAGATATCAATATTCACACACACACACACACACACACACACACGACGGCAACGCACCACACACAGAACACGACACAGCAACACACAGCATATATAATATATAATATATATATATATATATTTTATATATATATAATATTATAAAGTATATATATTATATGGTGGTTGTGTGTGTAATAATTATGTAATATATTTAATAATAAAGATAAAATTTTTATATGTGGTTTATAATAATTAAAAAGAAATAAAAATTATTTTATATATATATATATATATATAGTACTAGTAGGTAATATATATATATAATTATATTTCCTAAGAACTATGGTAAAACGTGACATCAGAATATGCAAAATTACTGTTGTTATGAAAATATACTAAAAAAGTCTCAATATGTCTAATCTACATTTAATTCGGAGTATTAAACGCTTATTCGCTGTAAAACAAAGTGGAACTCAACATCCTATATGTTATAACGATAGGCATTTATCCAGAATATATAATGGATGTGAAGTTGAAAACTGTGCTTCGATTTACACTTGGACACAATCATACAACTTAAGACTACAAATAAGGACAAAAACAAATGGACTATACTTGAGTGAAATCAGGAAAAATATGGAAAATGAAACACTTTTTTTATTGCCTTCACATTTATGTGCTTACCTTAATTCTTGAAGTGCCGTCTCCATGACTGAAGATTGGCGACCCCTGGCCCAATCTGTCTTGTGCTAGATGAAACAACTCTAAGCACTCGAAATACTGGTCCATTTGCGAATGATTGTTATCCAGAACATCTTCTTGTCTACCTCCCATCTACCCTGAACTTTCCTTATTATCAGTTACAAGAGTCACATTTCAGATTTCTAAGTAAATGACGAAAATACAGTGTTTTTATAATTTTAATCATTTTGAATTTTTCTCAGAATACACAATTTCTTCCTAGTATACAGTCATTACGCACTTTGTTAATCCTGGGAATTCTCGATTAATTGACATTCTCATGATCATCCACAGAATCCCGAATGGTCATTATTGAGACGAGAATCCGGCCACAACTGGAACAGTGGTCACTACGAAAACAAAATCGAGCTTTGGAAATAGTTACAAAAAATACAACAAATTAAACATTGGCATTTTTAGGCAAGGGATCTATTTAGAAAGGAGTATGCTATCGCCCATTGAATTTCACAGTATGCACTTAGTAGAAGAAAGTCAGGTAACGTGGGAGTAAATAGGGAAAATCCTTTTTTGTAGCATAAATAGATTAAAAAATGTTAATTATGGTGATCTGTCTTGACATAATAAAGGTCTTGTCGATTGGACGTCGGAATATAATAAACAATTTTTCCGTGGAGGATGTAGTGTAAAATAAAAAGGCTTTTACCTGATTGATGTTTTCGAGAACGTCCACTGTTACATTGATTAGTAGAACTGGGAAGTTCATGCAATTGCATGTTTTTCGTTAATTGTCATATTTTTCTGAAACTTCAAATGTGTATCTTTCATGGAAAAATATTGAAAATAAGGTAAGAAATGTTTTATAATAATGTTTTAAGATAAGAAATGTATATGGCATATTTTGCACATTCAAACTTTTTGGTATATAAATGAGTTTTTTTAATTTTCGACTTTTTGTCTAATATTACACAATACGAACTTTCAACCAAAACTATTTATAAATTAAAGGCATGAACTTTCTTGTTGCTTTAAAGACGTTAGTTCCAGGAGTTTCAGACTACTGACGGCCAACGCAGCCGAAGTATTATCTACTGTCGTCGGTTTATAAAGAATATAAAGAATTGAAGGAAAACCTTGGTAGACGCACGTGCAATTATTCAGGAGGTAAGGGATACATTCGCGACAGCTCCCGGTGAAACGGGGAAGGCAATAGGAAGAAAATAAACGAAGTTTTTGGAAATAATCTAGAGATTCTTACTACAGACAATGGGTAAATTCTTGGAAAGAAATAGTGTTCATCTTCCAGACCATATATTGAGTCCAAACATTGTCTCTTATAACATCATGTGATGTCGAAATATAATTTTCCACGTACAAAATTATAGTGTGTGATAAAAGACACTCCCTAACAACAGGTACCCTTAATAAAATTCTGATGGATTTCTGTACTCGTAATGCAAAATGAAATGTGTAGAAGTGGAGAGTAATCTTTTTAATTCGCATATTCCCTCCTCATTACAAGTCATTAAAATAGATACATGAAGCATTTTTCAAACATATCGCCTCATTTATTTCAACTACACCTTTTTTATGTTATTTTTGCTTGGACATCGTTGAAAACTTGTCACTTAAAAAAGTTGCTTTCAAAAAACTTGTCAACACTTCTCGTTTGCCACGTAGCACGGAGGCCAGTGTCTGGCCTGGCTTTTCAAACGAAGCTCCCCTTGTGGTCATTGGTTCGTGACGTGTCTGTTGCAGTTGCTGAGAGTGAGAATGAGTAAAAATTGGGGCGCCGGGCTGCACTTGGAATAATACAGTTCATTCGCCGACAGTTGGTCCACATGAGTGGGACCCCAAAATGTTACACAAAATGTTTTCCCTCAACACGTTTTTCGAAAAAATATGTAATTCCAAATACGATTCACTTAAAAATATATTAATAATTAATGATAATATACAAGGGGAACGTTTGTTCCGCTCGTTGGCTCTGAGCTACCGCCTGTCAAGGGTCGCGGTCCCCGCCAGCTCCCCGCCTCGCCGCCAGCCGCCGCCGCACCAGCACCACCACAGCGCGGTCGACCCCACCCCCGCCCAGGGGGGGGGGTCCACCACCACCATCCACGCGCCAGGAGCGCGGTGATCGCCTCGTCGAGGGCTGCGACCACGCTCTCGCCCACGGCCTGCCCGGCCGCGGCCGCGGGCGTCACCAGCAGGCTCTCCAGCGCGCGGACGACCCACGCCGAGCCGTTGAACGCCGCCGGGTCCTCGGTGAAGTTCATGATGAACGGTTGGAGGATCACAGTCAGTAGAGCGGCTTGTAGCTGCGTTTACCTACACTCAGTGAACCGGTAATATAACTCGCTGTCACTAAGCAATGCGGAAAGCGGACTTTCTGGCGACTTCGCTCGTACCTGCATTCAATGCAAACAAGTCGATGAGACAATGATGTCATTCCCATTACGTCTTGGAATACTTTCGTTCCATTTTGTTTCTAACACAAAGCGTCAATCCATGTTCACAGCCACTTCTACCGAACGCCACGCTTTGATATTTTCAAATTGATATATTGACAGTCACTACCTTTCGGAGCCTTCTCACACTATTGATTCTGTTTCTCTACACTGAAATTCTTTGGCCTCGCGTCAAAAAAAGTTGCCGATTTCTGGCTTGCGTCAACTTCACCGCCATTACTCCCTTCCTGACGCTAGGAACCTTGAAGTCGATGATCGAAGACATGATTTAGTGGGTTTAGTAGTCATGTGGCTTCGACAAGAAGCTTCGAGACCTCGTGCTCAGGAAGTGCAAATATTTTCACTGCTTGGAAATTATTCACCACATCTTCATTCACTCTATCTTGATCCACACTTGTTATATCACAAATGTTTGCTGACTTAAGTCTCTGCCCTTTACCTAATCTGTGGTCTCCTACACCAGTGTTCATTCAACGCCACACTGAAATGCATCACTATTTCGTGCGCAGAACCGAGCTCTCTTCAAGCTGCGAAAACTAATCTGACTACTTGAACGTTTTCTTAGAGCCAGAAAAGTTTCATGAAACGAATTTGTTTTTAAAACAAACCCGGTCTACAACCGGCTACTTTGGCAGTGGCCCCATTCATCTTCTTCACTAGTTCGTCCACGGTATATAACCTCACCGCGCACCATCGTCTGTGCGAGTGCTTGTCTCAGGCGCGACTTGAGAACAAGCATCGCTGCGCAACGGCCCTTGCACTGGCTGTGCCGCCTGACCTCGCCCCTCTCCCTCCCGCTCCGTCTCTATACTAGCATTTGATTAACCGTGCGCTTGACGTAAACCAGCTCTTCCCGATTTCACCCAATCAGGATCTTGGGCGTCTCTATAGTGACGGCACTGAAGTTCCCGATTGGCTGAAAGGGCAGCCGCTGATTTACGTCAAGTCCGCGTGGCAGCCGCTGCAGCGACGACTATTTGCTGCCCAGCGCACGAGCGATCCGGGCAATTGCCGCAATTGAGGCTCTTCCATTGCCACTGGGCACAGAGGAGAGCGGACTAGGACTGCTGGTGTATTGGAAGTAAACTACCCACGCCATTATAGATTTGTCGTGAAACGCAATAACAAATACTTATTTTAAAATGAGTTTCTAATTTTAATTATTCTAATAAAATACGGTTACTGGAAGGAGTTTACAGTTTATTTAAATCATCTTCAATTTGTTAGATTGCTTATGTTATGTAACCATAAAAGAATAGGAAGAAAGACAGGCAAGTACCACTTGATAAAGGAGCGACATTCCTACGTATCACCAAACATTTTCAAGTACAGTTAACTGAGAGGCCAACCCCACCAAATAGCTGATTATTTTAATTTTCTATTTCTCCAAATGTGTAACACAAGTATCGGAAGAGCCTCACGCTATAGAAATGTCAGTGGGGCCCGTGAGTGCCGCTGCCGGCCGAGACCCGTCGGTGGCAGCATTTTCGACACTAGCCAAACAGCTCGATAATTCTCCGATCAACACCAGGCGAATGCCTGAGCAGAACCTTAACAAACGGGCCACGTACATTAGATTCCGAGAAGTGTAGAGCCCTTGTTGCTTACCTTACCTTGATTTCAATTCAGCATTTTTCTTCTATGTATGGTTAAGGTACTTTTTAAGTTAATAGCGCAACTAATACTGCAAAACAAGAATAAGAATAAACCAAAATATTTTTTTAATAATTGAATTGTTCGGCTGTAAAACATGGTATCACACATGGAAACGTTTGCGAGATGTAGGCCAGTGAACATTTTTGCTGGAAGGAGTTTAAATGGAGGTCATAAAGACAGATCATAATGCTAACTGCCGGGGGACAATTGTGCACCATACTTTAGACAATTTGATAATCACAACTTATGGACTGCAGATGGAAGTGTATGAAAATTTTAATGTCACATAATCTATAGCTTTGAAGGTTACCATTTTATACACCCGAGACCTTCAATTACTGAATCTGGATATTCTATAACACAACATCAGTCATCCAGCCATCTAATCGACCGTAGTCTGTTCAAATACTTTTCAAATACCACCATTTTCATAAACAATTCAATATATGTCTGGAAATGGGTTCTTTCCTCTAGAACACTAGTGTATACATTTCAAAAATTCGAAATATGATGTGCAGTTACAATTTCAATTGCTTGTTTGATTTTTTAAATAAAAAATAGTATTAAAATGATTACTGTTGGGCCTTGACTCGATGCGCGATCGGAGAGCTGTCACGTTTCTCTTATCTGTTGCAGGAAGGTTGCAATTCCACGCTGGTACAACGTATGGAACAGAGTCTTCATGGGACTACGACAAATACAAAGGCGAAAAAGCTCCGTGGGTCCTCTTGCGTGTCATGTCGTTTCTATAAACATCAATTACGAGTTTTAGAAACTAGCGCTTTTCCAACACAAACGTCATTTCTCGCTTAATTTGTAACGCTTACGTAATAAATTAGTACTTGTATCCACAAAAGGATTTACAAAGACCAAAAATGAAGCTCATGTAGAGCTTTGAACTCGGTCACTAACGTTTGACAAGAAATTAATGCCCTCAATACAGGGAAGTCTAACAATCTTCCAGATGTTAAAAAAGAAGTTGAATATTTACAATTTTCGAAAATAGGGAAGTTTTAATAAAAATCGGACGAGTTGGGATAAAGAAGTGCAGAAAAAGTTTGAAAATCTAAAAAGAAATTGTTTCCGTAACTTTTAAAAGTTGTAACAATTTCACTCAAAAGTACGCGAATACTACTCGTATTTTAAAAACACAATATTTAACGATCAAAGTTTGAAGAACAGATTTTATTAAGAAAAAAGGTATTGTAGTTGTACGAAAAAGTCGAAAAAAATGTTCAACCTCTGCAACTACTGAAAATTAAGAATTCTCAACGATAATAGGAACTGCGCCATTAAGTCATCGAGGTCTAGTGGAGAAGTTATTAAAGAGCTCTAGGTCAATCTACATGACATGGCGCAATATTGTGGCGTGCTATTCAGATAAAGTGCTTACGTTTCTGGTTATTGATACATCGGTTCATTGACTTCGTTTTCATAACATACCAAGGAAAATCGAAAAATTAGAGAGGTCACATTTTGTAATTACTTGAAAAAGGAATTTCTATATTAAATATCACTTATTGTATCTTTAAAAATATTTCATTAATTAGCCTCTTTTTATTTAGTTAAAAAATATATTTTCCACATGGCAGTAACCGACGAGAATAATTTTCAATTTTTATTATGCCATAACCAAACTTAACAAATGTAAACATAACTTATACAAATTTCATGCTCTTTAAAGTATACTTGTGTCTAAAATTGTGGTTGTGTTTAAAAAGTCCTATTTTTTCAATATCGCAAAAGCAAATCAGACAGTTACGCAGCAAATCATGAAGTATTTCAACGGTAGATAACGCGCTTCAAATCCCGTGAATTTTATCATTTGAATTTCGGCGATCATTTGTTTTGTCTTTCATTCACTTGGAATACCAAATACAACTTGAATTTGTTCTTATAGCTGGTGTGAATCTATGACCTACTTTCTATTTCCTCTTTGCCCGGCCAAAGCTTTACGAGCGAAAAAGTAATATTTTATCGGTGACGACCACCTGTTTATTTATGAGGTCAAAGTCGTACAATGCATGAGCCGAAACCACCATCCCATGGCTTACACACAACATTCCCACAGAGCAGTGGAACATTCAAAGCCTCATCACCCACTCAGCGTGCGTACGTATCTTGTAACTTCCACAGACAAACATCACACATCAACAAAATTCCAAGCTGCCAAGAATTCCAAACAATCAATATATCAACAAATTCCCTTTATAGTCGTTTTCTTTATTGTGAGTGTATCTGAGTTTGAAGGAATGGAGAATTTCATCATTTGTGAAAATTGCGAAAAAAGTTAAAAATAACACAAGTATGTGCTGTTATAGCCCCACCAGTTTTTCTGCAAGGTCGCGACTTACGCATTTGTCTGTCGAAAAACCCCCCCCTCGCCGAATTTCGCCTCATTCAATGCCTCTCCTTCAGCTACGTAAACGTTGTCAGGAGAAATGGTGAAGAGACGATAAGGAAGGGTCATTTCTAGAAATAACGGCGTCCCAAAAACAGCGTTGAAACGCGAAGGCGACTAGAGCGAGTTGGGGCAAGTGGCCGCGGACCTCACGTAGGGGGCGTCACGGGCGAGGAAGCGGTGCACGGAATGCTCGTTCCACTACAAACATCGACAATCACAGCAGTAATCGACTTCAATAAGGAGGGGCCGTATGCTGCAAAGTATGCTAACATTGTCTCTTTAACATTAGACCGGGCGTGATGGCTCAGAGCAAGAGCATGTCCTCGCAAAGACAAGCGACACTGTACATCACTTTGGCTAACAAAGATTAATTAAAACATTAGTAGATCACGTGCTTATAATCATCCGATACCACTATTTACAATGATCGAAGGTAAAGGAATTTTCATTGTTACAGTCCAGTAGTGTCTTTTTACAGAACAAGACTCCATCTCAATTGTTTTAGAATTGGACAATATTTGCAACTGCATTCAATGCTCTTATACCATTTACAAGACATTCTGAATGAATTAGAATTTAATTTTACCATTTTAAAAATATTTTGATTGATTAGTGTTTCCCTGCGTTCATCTGCAATGGTCAATTATCCCAATAAGTGTAGTAATATTTTATTGAGGGAAGTAGCGGTGATTTCCCAGTTGTGTAAGAAGTAGGCCGAGACCGGCCCCCGACGGGCAAGCGCCGCATGCGCTGACGCTCGGCAAAATGGA